GAGCAACGGTCGGCGTGGGCTGGCTAGGCCGTCCGCCGCCGGTCTGCGCGAGGGGCCTTTCTGGGCGGCCGCTGTAGGTGAGCGGGCTGGCCTCCTGCGGACGGGGCTGGCCGGGACTTCAGGGCACCGTCGCTCGCCGCGGGGGCGGCCGCGAGCGTTGGCTTCTGTTGAGGGTCTCGAGTCGGGATCTCCTCCGCCACCGGCCAAGGGCGGGTCTGAAGTCGGGCAGTTTGGGCGAGTGAGGAGGCGGGTGGCCGGGGCCGTGCCGTCCAGCCCCGGGTTCCCTCCACGTCTGTGTCGCGGGCACCCGCGTTTCCCGGAGCCCAGAGCCCAGTGGCCCTGGCCAGGCCCGCCCTTCTGCGCAGTGTGCTGCGGGAGGAGGGCGGATTGAACGGGGAGATTCCCAAGAGACGAGGGAGGCTGAGGCCGACTCGGGGAGGAAGTTCATCAGGTTTGGAAGGTTTTGGAAACCAAGCCGAACAATTGGAGTTTGGTGTGATAGGAGAGGTGATTTAAGTACTTTTGTACAGATGTTATACGTAGACGTTTTGCAAACATTAAACTGACATCAGGGTGTAGGGGACGTCAGAGGAGAGGGATGTGCGATGACGACTATGAAGCTACTTCACACCCACCTTTCTATTGTGACAGTCTCTAATTAAGATCTACTTTGTTTTGGAAGAGTGACCTGTGATCTTTCATCATTGGTTCTGAAACATATGACTTAGCAGAAAGTATAGATTGAGTATGTGGAGAAGTTTTACGTGTCCATTTTCCCTCCGAAGGCTTGCTAGTTTAAATTGACAGTAGAATGTTGAAAGCGGGGAAAATCCAGAACTTATTATGTGCCTAAGCACAGAAGGGCTAGGCTGTTGAGGTTTATAAAAAGCTAAACAAAGGTTTAGTGCCTGGGGCTTGAGGGTGGGCAGGGGAGGTGGCTGCAGGCTTTGGAGGCCCAAGGGGAGAAGGTACAGCAAGCAAGGGCTGGTAGTTGTCTTGCTATATGATAAAATCTTACCCTTAATAGCCACCATAGAAATATCTCTACTCACTTCGATGTTTACTATCTACATCTATCTAAAAAGCTGTCCTTTTGTAAACTGTTTACAAAAGGACAGCTTTTTAGAGCCTTTTCTTTGGAGAAAGCCTGCGTTTTCTCTGCCAAATCATTGAAATAATGGCAAAGAAATATCCTGGGATAGGAATTTTACTTTCCCTCTCAGTTAAGGTAATAGAGACACCTAATAGGTGAAGGATCTGAGTCTACAGAAAGAGATCTTCATTCTAAAATAGAAATGTGCAGTTGTGAAATTCAGTAGTAGGAAATGCAAACCCTTGCCTAAGTTACAAATAGTTATGCAGGATCATGGGGAAATACAGCTGATATAAGGGGTCACCCTGAGGATGTTCTTAATATCCATCATAAACATGTTTGTGAATGAGTGTTACATTTGTAGCCCAGCAGAGGAGTCTCCTTACTATTAATACTCTGCCCTGGGCCAATCATATCTGGAGTGTTGTGTTAAGCTTGGGCATTATGTTTTAGGAAGACACTGACAAAATAATATTTTAGAGGAAGGTAAGTATGAGGGTATAATGTTTTACAATATGCGTTTGGTGTTCATCCTGAGTTCCTGGCACACAAATCTTAAAATCCTTGGAGTCTTCAAAGTGATAAGTGACCTTTTATGAGCTAGCGGTTGACTGAGGGCTGGTATCCCCTAGGTAGCTTCTGGATGGGCTTTCATCTGAAGAATGTAGGCAGGCTTAGAGAATTAGAACTTTTAGCCCCACCTCTGATTTCAGGGAATGAACAGATCACCAGTGTCCAGTAATGTAATCAATCATGTCTATATAATAAACTTATGTAAAACCCAGAAGGATTGGTTTTGAAGAGTTTCTGATGACCATCCAGATGATGTGAACCCCAGTATTCCTGGAGGTTGTAACCCCTTCCCTCATTCCTTACCCTACCCGTCCTTTCATCTGGTATTCCATCACTTGTAATACTCCTTTATAATTAGCCAGTAAATGTTTTGCAGGAGTCCTAGGCTATGCTCTGGGATTCCAACAAACTAGGTCCAGCCATTCATTCCCAAAACCATACAGAAATGGGAATGGTGAAAAGCAGAAAAAAAAACTTTATATGGCTACATTGGGAAGACTTATACTAAGATCCAACATCTCAGCCCTGTTTTTCATCATGGTCAAACTGGTCTGGCCTATCATTCTCTCAGTCCTGGCTCTATACAGGAGCTCTCAAGAAGTCCTTATTCCTCGAAGTCCAGTTTCCACTTGTTGCTTAGAATGTTTATCTGTCAGACCTGGGATCCTGGAAGGGGGCAGGTTGGCTCCCATGAGATGATTGCTCCTGCCTGGAGGGTGAATCAGTCTAATCCTGGAGTGATGTGCCTGTAACATAGGATCTGCTATATAGGGCAAAGTCTAGACACTTCCAGGTGCCACTCCTGGGTGTGAAACTGGATGCTGCAAATCTGGCCTCAGTCTTAAAGGGGACAGGTGAGATAAATTTGGGGTGATGAAGCTTGTATTACTAATTTTTTAGCTAAATATTTCTTAAATGATTTGCATACCTACCTGAGCAGGTTAGAGTTTAAGGTGACAAAGGAGACAGGTACAAAATGAAGGTAGAGATGCCAAACTTTATCCTGCTTTTAGTTATCCATGGGGCATCTCCAGACCTAAGTGAAGTCACTGCTTTTAGCAAAAGCAGCCTAAGTCCCTGTTACATAGTTCCCTGAGTTCTGTGAGTTTGTCCAGAAAATTAAGTGAACCCAAAAAGGAGATGGTGTGAACTCCAATAAATCGCAGGTTGGTCAGAAGCACAGGTGAAGTGATCTGGGATTTCTGATTGGCATGTGGGCTGAGGAGATAGTCTGAGCCCTTAGTCTATGGGATCTAAATCTATCTGGTAGATAGTATGAATATAGCTAGTGAACACCTAGCTGGCGCCACCTGCACAACTGATTGCTTGCTTGGTGTGTGCAGGCACCATTCATCCCAGTCTTGTCATGAGCCTTCAGTGTTGATTGCTGTTGAGCTAGGGGAAAGTTTGCTTTTTTTCCTCTCACAGATGGAAGGGCTTGCTCTTAGGTAAAGAAATTATTCTAGAATAAGAGGGCTTAGCAGAGACCCAATGACCATCTTCACATTTTTTGAAAGAACTGTCATTTAAACAGGGATTGATACATTCTGTGAAGTTGTGGTAACTAGAAATCAAGGCAATGACCAAAATTCCACAACAAACATTACAGCATGAGGAAGAGTTACTTAACTGTGAGAGCCACTCTGAAGTGGAAAAAGTTGCCTTGATGGACAGTTGTGGTATGGAATGAATAGGTTTACTACTCTGGCTCCCCAAAACTCTGGCTCCTTTGCAGGTAAAAGGTTTATTCAAAGCCAGCTTCAAGAAAGAGCTGAAGACCTTTCTGTCTCCAACCTCCATCTTTTTTTTAATAGCAGGCAGAGTGGGACAAAAGGCAGCAAATACACATATGTAGGTTTAGCTAGGCTGTGTTGATCAGAAGCATGCTAGTCTAAGTTCCCTGGTGCCTCTCAGGCTGGTGTAAGGGATTGAGCCTCCTTTCAGTATGAGGACATATGGAGTGTAAAAACATGGTTATTGGAAAACTTCCTTAATTTGGAAAGGAGTCTACTTGAGAGTGACTACTGTGATGCTTTCAAGGGTTTATATGGAACTAGGCAGTTATTTATAATCATCTTTTAAAATAGCTTTAGTTAGGCTAGTTGCCAGTGCTTCTTTTTAACCCTAATGTTCTAAGAAACATTATTTCCAGAATTGTGGCCATTTCAGAATATCAGCATATCTGCAAAGTTGAGTATGTTCACGTTGGGTCTCCACATTGACTTCTTCCCTGAGACATTGTGGGAAAGGGGATCTTTGGGCAATTAAACTAGTATTTAAGCAAGAGGTTAAGGCCCCTCTTCTTCTTGGTAAAGAAATGAGTCTTAGCTTCTTGGACTCTCCAGGTAGCGTCAGAGTTCTGTAAGTGAAATCTCAGTACATAGCCACAAGGTTAAATGCAAGTTCTAGGACAGGCTTTCTTAACCTTATCCTGTGGGCATTTTGGATAATTCTTCATTGTGAGGAGCCATTAATCTACATGTTATTTGGATAATTCTTCGTTGTGAGGAGCCATTGATCTACATGTTGTGGGACGTTTAGCGGCATTCCCACCTCCACTGACTAGATTCCAGCAGCATTGCTACTCCTGGCCTGACAACCAAATGTCTCCAAGCAAATGAGCCTACAAGAGCAGGGGGTACAGAACTGTAAGAACTGCTGCTTTAGGGGGGGCACACGACCAACTCACCATAGGAACACATTAGGGAAAAGGGGTTTTTGTTTTGTTTTTTAAAGTTCTTGCTTTAGGAATTTCTGCATCTGTTTTTACTGATTTTTTCCTCTTGCATCTTAAACTTTAATAGTCATCTCATTATGTATGTAATGAATAGAATTTTGAATCAGAATATGATATTTTTTTCCTTCCGTGTGTTATCATCCCTTATATATAGCTTCTAATGATGGTGCCTTATGCTGTGCAAAACCTCTGTCTGGCCCCTCAAATGTGAAAAAGGAGACACATGATTTCCCAGTTGTGTGTTCAGATAAAATCCTCTTTCCAATGTGGAAGATAATAGTGAACAGCATTAGGAAAATTAGCAGAAAATGACTGTGCTTGGTAGAATTTTATTTTAGGATATACATCTTTGTCTTTATCTTATTAAATATTTGATGATAGTGCTAGTGTCACTAGTTGAACTTGACTTGTTTTGTTCTTATTGATTATCAAGTTCCAGACAATGAGAACTACTGATTGTATTTCTGATCTTTTTTTTTCCCCCTTCCTTCAGACTACAAGTCCCAAGATGGAAACTTTGTCTTTTCCCAGATATAAAGTTGCTGAGATTGTGGTTCATATTCGCAATAAGTTCTTAACAGGAGCGGATGGAAAAAACCTCTCCAAGAATGACCTTTATCCAAATCCAAAGGTAAAATGTCTTGATGTTTGAAGTAGGTATTGGTGTTAGAGAACAAGTAGGTCACCATGCCATGTCATGTTGTCAGTTTTAATACAGAGAAAGATTTCAGCTAGTGTAATTTTAAATAACATTAAATTTGTATGTGAGATGATTTCTGCCCTCCCATTAGGAATTCACTTTTTTAATATGATTGTTTTCTTTAAAAAAAGACAGCTGCTTTTAAATCATAGATATATTAAAGGATATTAAGTTTTTTTTTTTTTTTTTTTTTTTATTGCTGTTGAAGTGTGGTACACGGATTTAATGTATTGGCAGGGCTTAGGGGAGCTTATTCCTAGTGGTTTCCCACCATAGAAAATGCTTGAAATTACCCCCTTGGAATCTTACAGATTAATATTCTTGCTTTATGCCCCAAGAGAGAGTTGACTTGCTTTGATGGGCATCATTCCTCACATTGTTATTAAATGCAGAAATGGACTGTGTGTGTGTCACAGAGCATCCAGAGTCCTTTTCCAGTCTTGGTGTTACCTTGCAGTGACAACATAGGGAAGCCTGGTTCCATGACATGGAACCCAGACTGTCTAATGTCAGTATCCTTTAATTCTTTAAAATGAGGGGAATCAGCTCAGAGTAAATGATGGGCCTTTAAACTGAGTAAAGTTAACTTTTTGAAAAGGTGCAATATTTTCTCTATATTTCTCACTTTTCTGCTCATACAATAAGGTTTTTAAACTTCTGTATTTCCTCATTGAGTTTATCCCCCTTGTTTTAAGTTGTCTCTTAAACTTCACATCCAAGAAAATCTTAATGTCTAAGGTAGCAACAAGATTTCTCATGATCTTTTTCAAGAAATATATTCTCAGTGTTGGGACACATTTGCCACATTCCTGGCAACCTGCAGATCTGAAAGATGAACTAACTTCCTCCATTGCCTGGGGTGGGGGTGGCTTGAATTTGATTTAGAAGAGTATGTTTGTTCTTAAGCAGCTGTCTTCTTGTCTACTTTCGGCACTTGGAAAAACTGACATGAATCATAAGGTATTTTAAAATCTGGAAAATTGTGAAACATTTCAAGGAGATGGAACAGTTGTCACCCTTTTCTCTGTGTTTACTGATTATAGCATTGGACAGTGGTGGTGGTGATGTAGTGCTGGAGTCATGGGTCAAGAGTATTGAAAGTTCCTTTCCGTTGCAGCCTGAAGTCTTGTATATGATCTACATGAGGGCCTTACAGATAGTCTATGGCATTCGATTGGAGCATTTTTACATGGTAAGTTTATGGTAAGGCAAAACTATGTTTCGTATTTTACTGCAGTTCTCTGCTCACGTACATACTGCCTTTTAAGGAAATCTTGACTGTTTTGACACATTCAAAGGCTTGTGTAAAATTAATGTCACCTGTGAAGGAATTTTAGGCATAATAATGGTTTATATGCATAGCTTTACCAATACAGAAACCTCAGTGGAAGCCCTGAACAACACCTAGACATCACTGAGGCTGTTCCCAGGTTTATAGGTCCCCTGAGACCCACGGACACAGCGAGTGTGCATGGACAAGGGTCTCTTCTCAGGAAGGACTCCCAGGTGAGAAGAGCAGGCATACAGTCAGAACAATGCTAGAAATGAGGCAAACTAGCTGTTTCTAGTAGGAAAGGCCACTTTCTTTATTGTAATTTTTTTTTTTTTTTTTGCAGTGAAGTCCTGAGGGCATCCTCTGAAGATGCTCTGACAATGTCAGAGTCTTTGGAGTCTCATCAACATGAAAGTTATCTGTTGTTTAAAAATCAAAGACATTTTAAATGAACAAAAGATGGCTCACTTCATTTTTGTTTTTGTACAACTAGCGTTTTGCACACTAGCTCAGCTCCACAACCCACCTGTTCTTTTTTTATTTGACATTGTTCACACACACTAGTACATATTACAGTAAGAGTGCTGGATAAAAACATGAGGTACGAAAGTAGTTCAAAGTTTATAGGTCATGCAGATCATGTTAGACAGCAAAGAAAATTGTGACTGAGAAAACACTAAATAAAAATACATAAAGAATGTGCATTATATATATTAAAAAAACAAAACAAAATAAAAACAAAATCAAAACAAAACAAAATTTCGTATGTAGAAAACATTTTGTTACATTGCAGATTTTAATGTATTTAAAAATTGCAACATGCAGATTAAGTGCAGTGTATACTGAGTATTTAAAATGTACTTTCATAAATACAGTTTCAAGAGAAAGTATCATTTTGTGTATACTAACACATTAAGTGTATGTCAGAAATTGATGTATAGATATATATTTTAACACATTTTCTGAAATTAAACTGTAGTTTTGTTGAAAAAAATAAAATAAAAATCAAAGACAGCCACCCTTTTACAATGAAACCTTGCCAATTGTAGTTTCTTTGTCTATAAAAAGGGAACAGCACTTTGTTTATAGATCCTTGTAAAAATCAGGAGAGAAAATAAATAAAACCCCAGCATGATGCCTGATACACAGTGGTGGCTTGTGGTTATCCTTCTATTTGTTTATTCATTTAAAAATCTTTATTTAGCACCCCCTGTAAACCCTATCATTAGAAATATCAGTGTCGACTATAGCTTAGTAGCAGGAGCTGCATTGTTTTTTTTCAGATTTAATGATAAAGTTGATACAATTTCATCTTAACCTCTGATTAAGGTTACTTTTAGTTTATGGCTGAAGAAACTTGTTTAATCAATGTGTGACTTAGGTTTTGTGACTTACTACATGCAGATGCCCGTGAACACTGAAGTTATGTATCCACATATAATGGAAGGCTTTTTACCAGTTAGCAACTTATTCATTCATCTGTGAGTAAACCCCCATTTTACTTTCTCCATCTGCTTTTGTATTTGCATGGCATTAAACCCTTTAAATGACATTGGTATCTTTGGGAAGGAGTTCCATCATCTTCCTTTCCTCTCTGTGTATGTTCAGAAGTACAGGTTTCTACCAAGCAGAACTCCCTTCACTTCTAGCACTTCTCAGGGTCTGTCCACTAAAGTTCGGAGGCCATGTAAATGGCAGTCCTCAGCCAGCTTTGTGGAGAGTTTCGAGTTCTAGAGTCTCGGTGTGCCCAAGTGCCTGTTCATTAGAATCTGTGGTGTCCCTGGCTCTAAGAAAGGCTTGTGTAGCTATGGAGCTCTGCACTACAGTGGGCTCAACTTGGTCCTGCAACCCTGAGGGAAACCTCCAGAAATCTCTCTAAAAATGGGGTATTTATGCTCAATGGTTCAGTATAGTTTACAACTCATTTATTGATATTCTTTCTATAAAAGGGATTCATTTCTGCCCATCTGCCGGGTGAATGACTTTGAGATTGCTGATATTCTGTATCCAAGTAAGTGAAAATTTAAACAGTTTTATTGTCTGGCTTTAACCAACCACTTTACCTTTCCATTGAAAAATGTGGAGGAAAGACTTAGAGTAGGTTTCAAGTGCATCCCATCCTTAGAGATGTGTTTTATTACATCCTTTTATTGAACTGTTTTTCCTTTGTAGATCAACATAAAAGCTGTGTTTCTGACTAATTTTTTTCTTAACTCCTTACATTTAAAAAATATTCTTTAAATTTGGGGAGGCCAGGCACGGTGGCACATGCCTGTAATCCCAGCGCCTTGGGATCATGAGTTCAAAGCCACCCTCAACAAAAGCGAGGCACTAAGCAATTCAGTGAGACCCTGTCTCTAAATAAAATACAAAATAGGTCTGGGGATGTGGCTCACTGGTCAAGTGCCCCTGAGTTCAATCCCCAGTACTTAAAAAAAAAAAAAATGCAGATGTGATGTCACATAGTAGACTATTCATATTTATTCATATTAACTTTATCAAGTTAACGGTTACTTTTCACCATGAAGAAGTTCTCTTTTAGTATGCATCATGGTCATGCTGTTATTTTAGATGTAAACTTTCCCAGCTTTGTGTCCCTTGATTCATTTTTGCCCTCTTGGATCTCTGACTTTTGTCTATGGATGTAGTATATGCATGGCAGACCTCATGGATTTTAAATGTAAATTGGATGTGTTTTAATAAATACTTGTACTTGTGAGCCACTGTCACAGTTGTGTATAGCACGGGTCCATGGCCCGCAGGAGTCCCTTGGAGTCCCTTTGCAGTCAGCCTCCCATGGCTGCCTCACTGCTTGCAACCACTGGCGTGTCTTCTGTCATTCTAGCTTTGGCTTTTCCAGAATTTCATACAGATGAAAGAATACATTCTGCCATCCGTGATGTCTGCTTCTTCTTTTTTATTTTTCTTTTTTTTATGTATTTTTTCTTTTGTACCAGGGATTGAACTCAGGTACTTGACCTCTTAGCACATCCCCAGCCCTATTTTGTATTTTATTTAGAGATAGGGTCTCACTGAATTGCTTAGTGCTTCACTTTTGCTGAGGCTGCCTCAGCCTCTGGAGTTGCTGGGTGCATGGTGTCTGCTGCTGCTGCTTTTTTTTTTTTTAATAATACTTTTATTTTGTTTATTTATTATTATATGGTACTGAGGATCAAACCCAGGACCTCCCATGTACTATGTGATTGTCCTGGTGTCTACTTCTTTAAGCACAGCCCTGTTGAGATTTATCCGTGTTACTTGCACTTACTGCTGCTGTGTATCTTGTTATCTTGGAGTATTCTCTTCAGTAGATAGACATTTGAATTGTTTCTAACATGTGCCCACTGTGGAAAAAGTACCCTAAACCTTGGAGGGTTCTTTGCTCGTGTTTTACTTTTGGTTTCATTTATTCTTAGTTTCTGTTTTTTACTTTAGAGCAGGAGCTGAGGTCATTAGTTTCAGGCCTGTTTTTGTTGTTGTTGTTGTTTGTTTGTTTGTCTGTTTTGTTTTGTTTTTTCCTAGTAAGAATGTTTAATGTATGAATTTCCCTCTATCTCAACTTCATCTATATTCTATAAACCCCATTGTGTTGTATTTTCATTTCTCATTCAATTCGAAACATTTTCTAATTTTCTTTTTCTTTTTTTTTTTTTTTTCATTCACCTGCAGGTTTTAAGTGTGTTGTCTACTTTTTAAAACATTCAGGGTTTGTCTAGCTACCTTTCTGTTGCTGATTTGTGATTTAATTCCTTTGGGATTAGAGATTTGTTCAATTTGACCCCATTTCAGTTTATTCATACCTTTTTTATGGCCCAGAACATGGTCTGTATTTGTTGCCTTTCAGAGCCCTGATGAACTATCACAAACTAGATGGCTTCAGATAACACATTTATTTATTGACATCTTCAGACATGATTGTGGATTTGTCTGTTCTGCCTAGTTTTGAAGGCAACACATCTAGAAATATTCTCTGGACTTGCCTTTGCTCTGAAATATGCTTTATATCCCAGAACATATTGTCTTTTGCTTTGCAGTTATTTGAGTCTTTGTATCTGAAGTGGGTCTCTTAGAGACTGCCTGTAGCGGGGTTCTTGCTTTGCTTGCTGTTGTCTATCAATTGAACTGTTTAGTTCACTTACAGTTAATGTTATTATTGGTGTGATTTGATTTAAATTTACCTTGTCCTATTACTGTTTTCCCCATTTCCTGCCTTATTTTGGTTTATTGGGATATATTTATTTTTATTTAGTTTTGGTATTTACAGTAGGGTTTAATATGTATGCACATATCTTTAGCCTATTTCTGTTTGTCTTAATATATATTATACCTTACAAAGAGTTTATTTCCATTCCCCATTATTGTCCTTTGTGTGATCATGCTATAAAGTTTACTTCTACAGATATGTGAATGCTTTGACATATTGTTATGAGATGGCTTCAGTTGATTATCTTTTAAAAGCATTGTTTAAATGAGGAAAATTTTCTTTTACATTAACCCACATTCTTTTAAGTATGTCCAGTCCCTCTCTGGAATGATATTTCCTTGCAACTGGAGGATTTCATTTAATATTTCTAATACTGCTAATAAACACCCTTTAATTTGCCTTTCTTTTTGAAAGAAATTTCCCTTTCACGTAGAACTCTGAGTTGACCACATGGCCACCCTGTCTTCTGCTTGTGTTGCCGTTGATGAGAAGTCACTGCTGTTTTGTCTATCCATGTGATGTGCTCAGTTTTTTTTTTTTTTTTTTCCCCCTTCTGGCTGCTTTTAAGACTTTATCTTTATCGCTTTTTATTTATTTGGTACTAGGAATTGAACTCAGGGGTATTCTACCACTGAGCTACATCCCCAGCTGTTTTTACTTTTATTTTGAGGCAGGATCTCACTGAGTTGCCCAGGTGGCCTTGAACTTGGATCCTCCTGCCTGGGATTCCTGAGTTGCTGGGATTACAGTTGTGGTTGGCCTGTTTTTCTGACCCTCCAAGACCCATGAGTTCTGATTGCGTTGTGCTGTCTGGACTGCAGTCTGGGTGCTTGAATTACAGGCCAGTGCCCTGATAGTGCTCGCTTGCTGGGTCCTGTGGAGGTGCTGCAGGGCCTGTGTCCAGTGTCTGAAGTTTGTCGCTGCACGGACTGTTTCTTTATAGTTATTTAAGGGACACAAGCCAGTCAGGTTTTTGCTGTTTCCATAATGGCCAAAAGTAATTGGCTCTTTTTTCCTAATTATTAATATATAAGGGTAATTCTGATCTTGAAGTTAGAACAGATTGTTACACGGTTTTATTTTACATACCATGAGCAAAGTAATGCAGGGGGAGAGAATGAATATTTCTACGTTATGTTTCAAACATTTACTTAAAATAGTCTTGCTTTATATTTTAGAAGCAAAACGGACCAGTCGGTTTTTAAGTGGCATTATCAACTTTATTCACTTCAGAGAAGCATGCCGTGAGACTTACATGGAATTTCTTTGGCAATATGTAAGATTTAAATATACTTGAGGGTCATACAACAGATGCATAACCTCATTTATGAACCAGCAATCTGTTTAGAAATGTTTGTTGCAAATATCATTTGTGTTAAGTAAAATTCCTAACTCATTTGTGAGGAATGACTGATTAGCTCTACTAAAATTTATTTCTAATGGGAAAATTATAGTGTGAGTAAACATTTTATAGTTATTGCTAGTAGTGTTATGTGTGAGGAAATCCGTGGCTCTTGGAAAGCACTGAGGAGAGATTGCTGATGTTGCTTTGTAGAAATCCTCTGTGGACAAAATGCAGCAGCTGAGCATTGCACACCAGGAGGCACTGCTGAAAATGGAGAGGCTCGAGTAAGTGGGGTTTGCATGGAAGTGAACAGTTTCAAAATGCACAGTGAGTGTGAATGGTGTTTCCATCTTGAAGTCCACCTTAAGTCTTGTCTTCCACAGTAAGTGGCAGAGTATTTAAGTGTGCCTTTTCTGAAAAGAGAATGATGTATTTTCTTAAAACTCTTTGCTTCAGTTTTCTTGGGCTCTGTCTTGATGATGCATTAGCCTGACTCATTTGATGCCTTTAAATTACTTCCCTAATTACACCTCCAGCCTTTGTCTCATGCAGATGAGCACTAGTTGTCGGGACCCTTTCTTCATATCATCTAATGCTGGCAGCATGTTTGGTCTTCCACATTGTTCTGCTTTGAACTCAAGAGTAATGGGAAAGATATTCAAATGACAGTTCCTCAGTCTCCTGTGTACTGACAGATGCTCCTCAACCTATGATGGGGTGTGTCCGACCAACTATCTTAAATGAAAAACATCCCAAGTTGAAAGAGCACCTGATGCTCCCGACCCACGTGCCACTGTTATCCTGGTTTGTCAGCCAGTGTGCAGTGGAGCTTGGTGTTCTCATTTGCAGTGGTGCATATCCTCATGCTGGTGGCAGATGGGGAGCTGCAACATTTTCACCTGTCACTAGCCTGGGAAAAACAAAATGTGAAGTACCATTCCTATTGCACATGAATTGTTTTCACATCGTCATGAAGGTGAAAAACCATCATGAGTCAAGGACCATCTGTGGTTTTTTGTTTGTTTATTTTGTGTGTGTGTGTGTGTGTGTGTGTGTGTGTGTGTGTGCGTGCTGGGGATTGAACTCAGGGGTATTCTATCACTAAGATATCCCCGTCCCTATTTTGTATTTTATTTAGAGACAGGGTCTCACTGAGTTGCTGAGCACCTCGTTGTTGCTGAGGCTGGCTTTGAACTTGCAATCCTCCTGCCTTAGCCTCCTGAGCTGTTGGGATTATAGGCGTGTGCCACTGTGCCTGTCTAGTTTTTGTTTTTTAAGTCCTTTCTAATATGTTGGTACCTTGTCCAGGAGAGAGCTTTTCTGACCTGTTTCTGGTAAAAATTGCCTTTACAATCAGTAATAAACTGAAAAGACTGGGGATGAGAGGAAGATACTGAGATTTAGCATGGTAAAAATACCGCAAACCAGATCAAAAGAAATGTGCAAACTGGGAGAGAATTTTTGCAACATTTGCTGCAAAGCATTGCAGACTATACTGCCCCATCCGGCAGGACACATCAACGTGGGCAGCGAACCTTAGAATCTATAAACAAATTATTGTACTTTGATAAGAAATATCAATGAAAATATAGTTAAAATCCTTAGATATTTTGTAGACATAATTATAATTATTTATCATCTTATGAGTTTGAACAGTAACTTTGAGAATTAGAAACTACTTGAAGATTGTATTTTCACTTAAAAGCAAATTTATAGTAAACACATTTATCTCAAATATCTGTAACTGAAAAGGTAGAGTATCTGATAAATGTAAATATAAAACATAAATTATGGGTTTTCTGTTGAAGAAAAACAATTAGGCAAATATATATTAACTAATCAATTAGGCATGTGCTAATTATTTTATAGATTAACAAATATAGGTTATCTAAATATCTTAATATATATATTAAGAATAAGAACATAACTTATAATTGTATTAATTTTATGTAACCACGTGGTCTTAAAATATTTGGATCCATTTTAATTTATTTTTAACTAGGAGTGCACTCTTCTATGTGACGTCGCTTAATGTAACTGAAATAAAATCCTTGTTGAGTATACATATTTATTTTTTATAGTTAGGAATGAGAATAAGGATTTTTTAGTCATCACAGGAACATTGCCGGCTTTGTTCCTGTGGCGAGCAAATGCATCCTCATAACCTCCAAAATTAAAAGTAAAATATAAAGAAGCATGTTTGATATCTCTCATCAATAGAACATTATTTAGTAACACAACTATAGAGAAAAGTCAGGTTATTTAACTCAGAACTAACTTAAATTTAGGGCTGCAACATAGAAAGCTGTGGGATTAAATTTTGTCTGAAAAAGATATCTTTCGTTAGCATTTACAGGTAGGCATTCTTAAAAATACAGGCTCTGAACAGCTCCCTTAGAAATCTGAAACACAGTAGTACAGATTAGTGGCTGGAAGGCGGGACTAGAAGTCCTGTCTGAGTGACTGTGGAAGAACCAATCGGAAGCCGATTTTTTTAAGTCCTTTTTCTTAACACGGACCCCCGCCCCCCCACTGTGGGAGGTGGGACCAGGAAGCCTGCTCTTCCGGCCAGTCACCCCATGGTTACCATGGTGATGCAAACAACATGGAGTCCGCTGCCCATTTTCGGGGCAAAAGTTCCCCAAGTTTTCCTAGCCGATTGCATTTTGTTTGATTTTGTCTGCATTTTCCCCCGCCTGGCCAAGATCTTACTGCGGTAGCAGCTTGTTCTGTCTCTGTACATCCTGCACTTTTTTCTGTGGCACGTGGGTGCTCCAAAGTTTTTTTAGCAGCAAATGCTAGCATTACCATCAGATCTTAAGTTAGTCTGTGTTTGGCATTTAGGTCAAGTAATTCAAGGGTTAAAAGCACTGTTGGCCGCAGGGGCTAGGACCCCATAGCGAGCAGCAGCAGCAGCAGCTAAAGTCTCTTGTCCCCAGTGGCTGAGTTACAGCCATTCTGATTCATATGACAATCATGTAGTAAAAAGGTCCGTACATACTTTCTGAGTATTGACAAAAACAATAGAAAATTGAAACTTATTTCTCTCCAGGTAAACATCACATTTTCTCTCCCTTTTTCTCACTTTCCTAGCGCAAACTTCTAGAACATAAAGGCCAAAAAATATCTTTTTTTTTTTTTTAAGCTTTTTTTTTTTTTTCTGAATTAATTAGGTTCCAGTAAGAAAAGGTGGGAACAGGCACCTTTTCTGGGCCAAAGGATTCATAATAATCTTTTAAATAGTCTCCTACTCTAAGCCATCTTTTACCATCAATGGTCCCTTCAAGGGGAAACCATGGACACAATTCTATGTATGAAAAGAATAATTTTAAGTCCTTTTTCTTAACACGCGACCCCCCCCCCCACCCCCTATGTCTTGAGGGCCTCCTTGAGGCCTGACAAAAACAAATCGTGACGAAACTGCTTGTCCCGTGGTGGGTCACTCACCTTGCGTCGTCCTCACTGTCCTCCTGGATCTGTCTCTCGGTTGTGTCTGCCGAGGCGATCTTGAGCCTCCCAGGCAGGATGTCTCCCAGGGGGCTGTCAGGCTAATCTTTGAAGGAGAATTTCCTTCTAGTCCCTGACACTATACTAACAAAACTCAGGTAGTTTTTCTACCTACAAAAAAGTCCTGCAAACTGAAGGGAAAAGATGACTTAATAGAAACCTGGGAGAAGGCTATGCATAGAGTTCGCAATAAAATCAAAACAGATGCTGATACATTAGTTATGCAAAAATCATACTAGAACTTTTGTGGGGAAGAGGCTTGAGTCTGTGTGTGTTAGGAATGGTAGAGGCTTGGGGATAGGGGAGGAGCATTAGAGAAGGCATTCTGCATACATCTCACAGGAGTGAAGTCGGACAGCACAGCTGTGGGTGCTGCCTGCATAGAGACTCCATGGGAGGATACTGAGGGCTCCTCAGGCTTTCATTTCTCTCAGCAGTGCCAGGCCATCTACTTCAAATGGCTGGAGAGTGTGTGATTCAAAAATCAGAAAAGTAGATGCTGCATCTAAGTTGAGGGTATGGGTTTTATTTTGGCCTTTCAAAGTTAAGAATGTGATGTTATTTTAATCTATTTTACTGTGTTCAGTTCTGTTCCAGTTGAAGAGCAAGAAGAGTTCAAGCAACTTACTGATGATATTCAGGAGCTACAGCAATCATTGAATCAGGAATTTCGTCAAAAAACGGTATCTGTTATGAAACATCTTGAAATTTTTTTTTTTTAATTACATTTCCATAGGGGTGTGTAAGGGGGGTAGGAGCTCACTGCTTTCCATTACTGAAGAACAGTGCTTGCTAGGCCCATTTGTGCCCCTTACAATGTATCAGTCATCCCTGAACAGGTGGCTTTTTGTTTGTGTTGCAGTGTTGTGTCCAGTCTGGTTGAGTAGGTGTCTTAGGGTTCTCCTAAGCTTGCTCCTACTGAGACTAGAGGCACCCTGGACACTGCAGCAAGCTCAAGGGTGCTCAGGATAGTTTAAATTTCCAGGGAAGCCTTGTGGTACCCAGCATCTCTCAGACACCGCTGTAGCTCCTAGCTCAAGGTAGTCCACTTCCATTTTTAGATCACATTACCATTTGATATCTTTGGGGTTTTGGCATTTACCATGATAAAAAGCAAGTGCCATGTGAAAATCATTATGGAAGGAGGACCTGAGAATTTCTGTCTCATCTGCTTACAGGGTACAGGGATTTATGCAATATCCAATCGGTCATATGCCTAATGAGTAAGTAGTGTGATTATCTAAGAATAAACTAAAATACTCTTTCCAGATAAATGTTTATTTTCTCAAAGGACTGCAGCATTGTCAAACAAAAGTGTGCAGTCACTTTGACTTAATCATTTTGTGGAGGAATCCTTAGATAGTTATTCTGGCCCATGGGCATTACAAGCACAGAGAGTTTGAGGCTGGTCAAAATCCTTTCTCTTCTTTCTCATCTTGATTTTGTGAGAAAGCAGCAAGTGATTCCATTTCAGTCTGTTTTAAATCATAACCCCTTGGTTTGCTTTTTCCCTTAGATAGTGCTGCAGGAGGGAAGTTCCCACAAGAAATCAGATATCTCAGAGAAGACCAAACGATTGGTAAGTACCTTCTGCCACTAGCACTGACTGAGAGGTTCAGTGGGGAAAACACTGGAGCCATGTACCTGCTTTCCCCACTTCATAGTGTGGCACACATGAGTCCTTCCATCGATGGCTGCACGTGTCTGTGCTTCCTGCAGATCTTCCTGGTACCTTGTCCATGCCTGTCGTCTTGCCCATGTGCACCTTTGCCAGTCAGGCTCTCTTTTGTCATTGAAGGGATTCCCAAAGTCAGGACTTGGGGGGTCAAGGGAAGTGAGTATTCACAGCTGACCCACATTGCCCAACGAATTCTAGAGCTGAACACCAAGAATAAAGTAACAGCACACATCAGTAACAGACATGCATTATTTTGGTCAGCGTTGGCCTCCGTTGGCTGGTCAAAAGGTAAGAATCTTTCCAAATAAGAAACCTAGAAGGATTGCACAAGTCCTAGGATTGTACCTTCTGTCCTAACACATAAGCATTCCCTTGGTCTATGGCCCCAGAGGGGCGCCAGTTCATCCTCTTCCTGTGGCTCTGCACTCAGACACATGGCACTGTTTAGCTGTGTTTTTGTAAGGATATATTTGTGTTCTTTTTATTCAGATGTATTTGATATATATTGACCTGTGACTTGTTAACATTTATAACATTTCTAAAAAGCCTCTGTGGTAATATGTAGAGTGATAGAATTTCCCAAGCAACATAAACACAATTTATCTCTTAAGTATTTGGGAAGGAAGCTTACTGAATTTGTTTTTATAGCATGATTTCAGACTCGAAGCAGACTTTTGAGAGAATTCCTCAATACTCTTCTCTTTCACTCCTTTGGGTTATATTCGCTTTTTTTTTTTTTTTAAGATATAGGGTCTTTCTGGGTTATCAGGCTGCCATTAAGCCTGGGGCCCAAGCAACCTGTCTGCTAGGCCTCCTGAGTAGCTGGGACTATCGGTGCATGACAGCACACCTGGTACCCCCCTTCAATTTTATTAATTGATGTGTGAATATGTAAAATTGTGCATATTAATGGGGTACTATGCTTTGATACCTGCATATGTACATTGTGTAGTGTTCAAGTCGTTAGACATACCTATTTCAAACGTTGTTCAGAGTCCTTCTTGCGTTTTGGAATTCACAGTACACAATTGTTACCTGTGATTACCTACTGTGCAATAGCATGCCAGGGTTGTTTTCTCCCGTCTCTAACCTGGTGTGCACCAGCCCACCTCTCTTCACCCCACCCTCTGGAAACCGCCATTCTACTCTTCCTGAGTGAGATCCTGTGACACTTGTCCTCCTGGGCTTCTTTCACCTAATCTCCAGCCCCTTCTGTGTGGTCCCAGAGGTCAGGTTTTGTTGTGTTTGTGGCTCAGTAGTGATCCATTGTGCACACGCACCCCATTTTCTCTACCTGCTTATCAGGTGGTGGATGTTGTGCTATGTCTGTCTCTTGGCCCTTGTACACAGTGCTGCATTGGTCGTAGATCAGAAGTCCCTGCAGCACGTGGGCTTCATCTCCTTGAATGTGCACCCAGGAGTCTGGTTGCTGGGTCATGTGGTGGTTCCATTCCTGTTTTTTTGTGGCTCTTCCTGTTTTCCGTAATGCCTAGGCTGGTTCATGTTGTCACCTCTGGGTGGAAGAGGGCCCTTTTCTCCACATCCTCCTGCACTTTTGTCCTTTTGGCGATATTATGAGGAGCTGCTTCAGAAAACACTCGAAGTACGAATTCAAATCAAAGAGAGCTTTATTTGCCTGGCCAGGCACTGTCACCCACCTGTACAAACTGAAACTCTGGGAGAACAGCAATTTCCAGGCCTCTGTCTTAGGAATTTAAGAATAAAACCACAGCTTTTTCTCAGCGTCATGCAAGCAAGCCAATCAGAGAAGCTAAAACAGTAGTTACCTGCAAGCCCTAAGCAGGACTGGAATTTTCCAGTTAGCAAGCAAGCAATGAAGTTACAGAAGCTAAAAAGCAGTCAGCTTGCAACTCAGTTAACCGCATCTTGGATCTGAGCAGGTGTTAGACAACTGAATCCTGAGTTCGAGCAGGTGGTTAGTGGGGATGAGAACCTACTTCAAAGTCTTGGGTCACTAAGACCACCATATCCTGGGTTGAGTATATTTTATGGGGTACAAAGTACAGAAAACAATATAAGAAAACAGCTTTCATTTCAGTTTCTCAGAAACAGCTCTTGTAACAGTTTTTTTATAGAAGGCAACAAAATGGAGTCTTAGGCCTGTCTATGACAGTTTTTGCTTTATAATTGTCTTATCTCGCTTTTCAAAATCGTATATCCTATAATCTAAATTTTTTACTAATCTATAACTATAACTTACACTCTTATTGATTGTTATCTATCAGTTCACACCACAACCATGATAGCCGTTCTTACTAGATCTAGCCAGGTGATGTTCCTGATGGTTAGTGGTGGGGAGCAGGTTGTTTTCAAATTCCTGTTGGCCATTTGTTTTTTGAGAAATGTCTATGTCTCTTGACCAGTTTTAATTAATTGGTGGCTTTTTTGCTGTGGAGTTTGGAGTTTCTTGTCAGGTTTTTGCAGACTCCTGCTCCCATTCTGTGTGACCTCTTCACTCTGTTGTTTCCTTTGCTAGGTAAAAGCTTTTCAGTTTGTTGTAATCACATTCGTGTATTTTTCTTGTTTCCTATGCTTTTGGTGTCTTGTCCAAAAAGTCTTTTTGCCGTTGCAGTGTTCTTGAAGTGTTCCCCTCTTTTCTTTTAGTAGTTTCATTATTCACTTTTAAAATTAGGGAAAAGAAAGGAATTTGTTTTGATTCAACAAGCATGGGCTAAGCATCTTCTCTGTTCTGTGGCTCCATTTGGGTACTGGGAGAACAAAGACAGCTTCACAACTACAAGTGGCATGGTGTATTTGGAAACTCATTAGGTGCATAATTATAAAGTTGCATAGAGGAAATGGGAGTTGGATTTTCAAGGATCAATGAAAGTTGAGCAGGCAGGCAGGATAAGGGTGGTTTGCTGTCCTAGTATCACTCTGATCATGGAAACAGCTCCTTATTCATAGCCTGTTTGACAATGTTTGAGTGATGAGTCAGGCAAGGAATAGTCGGTTTAATTTTATTCCCTACCCCCTGCCCCAAAGGTGGGCTTTTGTTTTGTTCTTTTCTGTTATTGAAATATAAATTATCACTTTTATCATATATAAAAAAAATGTTTCTCAACAGAATGAACTAAAATTGTCAGTGGTTTCTTTGAAAGAAGTACAAGAAAGTGTAAAAACTAAAATTGTGGATTCTCCAGAGAAGGTAAAAAATTATAAAGAAAAAATGAAAGATACAGTCCAGAAACTTAAGAATTCCAGGGTGAGTTTCCTCTTTATTTTATCGTTTTCTATCTCTTTTCTTTCTAGCAAATTCTTGGATTAGTTTTCTGGATTATCTGTGCTTTTCTCTTATTTGTTTTTGTTGTTTTACCTCATTGCTAATTTGTAACTCTTCTCTAAAGACAGGGTGTGGGGAAAAGAAATAAAAATTTAAGACCAAGACATTTGTTCAGTGACACTAAAGTTTTGAGGCTTTGCTTTGGGTAATTAAAGCAGAAATGCTCTGTCCTCATGAGTTTGAGTTACTTTATGACAAAGAGAAAGGTATTAAGCAATTTTAGTTAACAACTGTATAATTATAAATTATAATACATACTTTGAGAGAATAAGAATATAAGGTGTGCTTATGAATACAGGATATACATGAAAACATTTTCGTAACTTCTGATCAATTTTGCTGTGAATATAAAACTGCTCTAAAAATAAAAATGCTCAAAAATATAAATATAAAATTGTTCTAAAAATAGGATAACCTATTTTTAAAAAAGGAAAAAGTGTAGGGTGCTTTGACATTAAAATGGGGGAGCCCAGTTTAAAATGTAGGAGCCAGGTGGAAGAGAGGGAAGTGGGCATATGCATTCCCAGGTGAAGTCGTGCAGTGTGTCCTAGGGAATGATCCAGGAAAGAAGCTTCAGCAGAGGGAGGACTTCTGTGAGTTCTGTGAAGCATTAGGGGCAAGATGTGCACAGGCCATAGGTTACTCGGGAGACAGGTGGAGGTGGTAGGACAAAATTGGAAGTTGGAAGACAATTTAGCATTCTCCTTGAAGCAAAGTTTTTAAACTATTTCTATTAAAATCATTGCTAGTTTATCTGTGACTTTGCTACCTGATAGTTAAAAATTGCCACATAAGCATAGACAAAAGTCACCACAACGGCAGTGAGAGTCCAGAAATAATTTGTGTATTTGTGAGGAATGGATGATATATTCAAAAGCAATTCTAGGTCAATTAATTGTTTATACAAAGGGAAGGGAGATGAGCCTACACTTTACATCATTTTCAAAACTACTTATGTGGATTATAAATTAAAGTTTAAAATTTCAATAATTTTAGAAATTTTAAAAGAATATTTATTGTAGTCTTATACTGTGATAGATGGTTTTTTAAATTAAGATTACTATAGAGAAAACTAGACCCACTAGGACATATTTGCAGTGCATCTGACAGGTCAAGGATTGTGTCTATCATATGCAGAGTGTGTGAACAGCTGGGAAAGAGCGTGCAGTAGCATGACCCAGTCCTAACTGAGGGGAGCCCTGCTGGCTAGGCAGTTGGCAGGAGTGCCTAGAGGGGAGAATAGAGAAGTCTTTGCAGTTACAGTAAGCATATGTTCATTTCATGATTTTAGAATTGGAATTGTTCTTTTTAAAAGAGGTGGCCATAGCAGTAGTTGTACCAGGGAGTAGGAAGATTGTAGTTGGGTGATGTGATTGCCAGGGGGATCAGAAGCACTTGAGAGTTAGCGAGAAACACATTTCCTGGCCCCTTGCACAGCCCTGGGGTGGAACCACAGCAGTGAACTGGCTCCTTTGCCAGTTAAGAGATGTAATTGCTCAACTGGACACATGTTGGTGATGATGCTCTGATGCTGACATATGCACAGAAGTCATTAAGAGCAAATAAATTCATATTACTGCAGTTTTATAAAGGAACCTATCAAACTGTGGACTCGTTTTTCTTTCCTTTCATAGCAAGAAGTAATGGAGAAGTATGAAATCTATAGAGACTCAGTAGACTGCCTGCCTTCATGCCAGCTGGAGGTACAGTTGTATCAGAAGAAAATACAGGAACTTGCAGACAATAAGGACAAGCTGACCAGTGCCTTGAAGGAGGTTTGTGTTGTGCAGGAGGGTTGTCTGTTATGGAGCTGCTTACTGTAGTTCTTTGAGTCAGTTTCACTCTTAACTGTTTTCCCGAAGATAGGTGGTAGATGAGTCAGTGTGTGCTAAGGAAAAAGACACTTTTCTTTTTAAATATAGCAAGACCTGTCTTATCCTCCAGATGAAATGAGTGATTGGCACAGCACATCGCCATATATGTTTTGGGAAACAGTAATGGATATTTGAACTTGTAACCCTTGGAAATTCTTACCTGATCAGTAAGGATAAAGTCCCAGTCTAGTGCTCAGGAGTGCACTGAGGATTTGTAGAGAGCTTTGAAGTTTATGATATAGATAGTGTCTATCCTGAGACCTGAGAACTCTGGTGTCATTTAAGTTTCTCAGGCTGGAAGCTTAGAAACCAGTTCTTTCTCACTTCTTACCATCTTACATTCAGACCACCCCTAGGGTCATTATCATTGGCATTTGATAAGACATTTTCTTTTTTAGGAGTTAAGGTGAGATTTCCACTTCATAGTTCCTTTATCTACCATGCAGGTTAACAAGACAGATCTATTGCTTCTATTTGCTCCTAGCATCTGCCCTTTCCTTTTTTTCTACCAATTAAGTCTAGACTCTCCCCAGATAGCCTCAGCTTCTTGACTCAGTCCAGATCCTCCCCAGCCAGCCTTAGCCTCTTGACTGATACTGCACCTGCACCTCCCCCATTCTTGGCTGGCAGAGTGACCATGTAAAGGCACCTCTGTTCGTTATGCTCATTCTAAGGTCCCCGTTGTCCCCCTTGCATGGTCTGCTGCTTTTTGCTATGCTTTCAGGGCTTCAAGGTCCATATCCCTTTCAAAACTATTTTATTATAGCTTATTTCAAAAGTACCCTTTCATTTTGTTTATAATCCTAACTAGCTTAACTGATTTTAAATGCTTCTCATAAAATTTAGAGTCGGAACTTAGAGGACCAAATTGAGAATGATGAATCTGAACTAAAGAAATTGAAGGCTGAAGAAAATTCACTCAGAAGACTGCTGATTGTGAAGAAGGAAAAACTGGCCACTGCACAGTTCAAAATAAATAAGAAACATGAGGACATCAAACAATACAAACGAGCAGTAATTGAGTAGGAGCGCACCTTCAGTCTTTGTGTACTAGGAAGTGATGAGGAAAGCTGTGTGTGTGTGTGTGTGTGTGTGTGTGTGTGTGTGTTTCCCCCCAGAAAAAGGGCATTCCACCTTTTGGTGACTCTGGCAGGGGCGTCATGAAACCTGTAGTGCTCCATCCTGATTTTGAAAGGTTCTAGCTGTTCCTTTTTGTTCCTCTTTAGTGAGCATGGTGCTGCATATTTCATGGTCTTCAACAGACAGTGGTTTAGACTTGCCTCAGAAGAATTAGGTGGCCTGACTACAGTATATCTGGTCTGTAGAGTTAATAGCATCCATTTTGAGAAATCTTTTTATTCAAATATAGATTACTAATTTGCTGAATATTTTTGAGGACAGTACATTGGGGTGTTTTGCTGGTGATCTTTGCCCCATCAATTCTAAGACTATGTTTTTAGAACATGTGCTGCAGATCTGTTTTGGATGTCATCCCCTTAGTCCCTACAATGGGTGTTGGAGATCAGCTGAGTGTTTCCTTTGCGCTTCCTCGTGCTGGAGCAAGGGGCAGCACCAGAGCATGTTGTACTTGATGCCAAACTGCCTTGCAGAAAAGTTGTGCTGATTCTGATTCCCATTCCCATCGTAAGCATAGCTGTGGGTGTGCAGCTGAAAATCCCCTCCTTAAAGGAAAGCCCTTAAGTGCCCTGATGCGACTGTAGCACCACACTTTGGGGGATCTGTTTGCTTTTATGTCCTGAGAAGAGTTTTAGGTCCATGAAACCATTAGTGACACATGGAGACTTTGGAATCAGAGTCAGCATTGTTTTGCCTTTTTAAATACTAAGTAATTATATCAGCTATCTCTGTTTTCTTTTAGGGATTGCAATAAAGTCCAAGAAAAAAGAAGTGCTGTCTGTGAGCAATTAACCACAATTAATCAAGAAATCCAAGAGATTAAATTTGGAATTCAGCAAATAAAAGATGCCACCGAAAGGGAGAAACTGAAGTCCCATGTGAGTATCTGTTCATGAGCGTCAACTAAGAGGTCCCATGTGCTGAGGATGGGGTCACGGCAGGCCTTGCTGGTGGTGTCTGTCAGCTCTCCAGCTGGAAGCCTGGCTGCCCTTGGCTTTTGTCTCCATTTCTGCAGCTCTTGTGTCACTCTTGCACAGTGTGCACAGGTATCTCCTCTCTGTCTTTCTTCTTGCTTGACTTGGGCTCCTGATAGCACGTAGTAGAACATCATTTTTTTTGTAGTAAAAGTGGTTTCTGTGTTAAAGTTTTGATTTTATTAGGTAAATGAACTTGAGTAGTGATTTCATTAAGTAATCACTAATTTTTAAGTAAAAAAATTTTGGTATTCCCCCCCCAATAAAAGATCTCAAAAGTTTTTCTTGGTGTCATTGTTAAATGTAATTCAGTTAACTGAAGTTTGGAAAAAAGAGCTTAGATTGGTCCCTTTGTGTTAGGAAAATTTTAATATCTATATATAATTATCTAAAATTATTATGTTTACTTCCTGCTTATTTTGAGTATATTTATTTTATAGCTTCTTAAATAACCTTAGTTTTAATGAGAATAGGAATCTTCTACATTTTTATCTTTGAAAATGCCAGTACATTGCCATGCCTGTTTCTAGCCCTTTAACTGTCCATGTCTATTCCTAAAATATTCATTAAACCTCCATTCTCTCCTCAACTTGTGTGTGTGCTGCTGAGGATTGAACTGGAGGCCTTCAGTGTGCTAGGCATGTGCTCTACCACTGAGCCACGTCCTACCCTTTCTATTTCACTTTGAGACAGGGTCTTTCTGCATTGCCCAGAAACTTAGGGCCCTCCTATCTCAGCCTCCCAAGTCTCTAGGATTATAGACACACCACCCTGTCCACCTTTCCTTAACTTTTGAAGTTTGACTTTTATCTTGAAAATTGTTTTTACTAGAACAGTTGTCCAAATTGCTCTATAAGAAATCACTAAAAAGGCCATTTTTCATGCAAAATTCCTTGATATCTATTTTTCTCACTCCTCTTCATCTTCCACACATCAGCACTGTAGGTTGCAGTTTCTGAAACACCCTGACACCTGATAACTATTCATATACCTACTTTTATTCCACCATACACACCCAGTTTTCAAAGATTGCTAATTCTAAGGAGCCAAGATGGACCCTGCCCATACATGCAAGGTACTTTTATCCCCCAAAAGATACATTGTTAGTATACATTGTTAGTACTTGTGTATCTGTGAATGAATGCCTATGGATAATGTCTCTAGGCTGTTTTTAAGGTAAGAAGAAGATAGGAAGAGAGTAGAATAGCAGTGGTTCTCCTTGGTCTGCCCAGTATACTGTCCTTCCTTTTCCATTTGGAAAAAAGTCTGGATAGATTTTAGCAGATATCTAATCCTTTTTTTTTTTTTTTTTTTCCTTTTCAATTTTACTTTATTTTTTGGAACCAGGGATTGAACCCAGGGGTACTTAACAAATGACCCAGCCTCCCAAGTCACTGAAGTTACAGGCATGCACCACTGTGCCTGGCTAATCCTACTTTTTAACTAAATTAACAAATGTTTGTTATCACATGGTCCAAGTATGGTTAATGAACTAGTTAGTAATGCATTACCAAGTAGTTACTAACTCAAATTTAAGATATCTTTGTTTCAATCATGGAAAATGTCCATATCTGTCTTATATTACTCTCAGTTCTGTGTGTGTGTGTGTGTGTTTCCCAGTGACATTTTAACTTCTTGACAGTAGCAATCATGCATGGTCCAAACTTGGCATCATGTAAACTATGCTGGAATGGTGGCTTATGTGTAGTATGCTTTCCACAGACCCTGTAAAATCATAAGGTTTTCTAGCACAGTGTTAAAACTGTCTCTGTATCGATATTCAGTAAAGAGTTGTTGAATGAACAAGTCCCCAACTGAATGTGCTGAATTAGGACCTCCAGTAGCAGGGCAAGAGTTTGTACTTTGTCTTGGCTTTTGAGAATCACTATAGGTTCTGCTTATTGTCCTAGTAGAACAAGACAGCTTTTATTGTTGAAATGTTCTCATTTTGAATTTTAAATTTTTATTTTTACATTCTAGTGAACTGAGGTCTTGTCTCTAGAATCAATCTGTGCCCTCTTGCTGAGTAACTCTTAAGGCATTTGAGGCTGTCAAGGTTCTTTCAGTCTTCTCTCAGTGGGTTACTTAGCCCCAGTTTTCCAGCCTCCTTTATATAGCTTCATTTTCAGATTCATGACTAACCAGTTTGTTTGTCTCCTGTTCCCTGCTTGTCATTATTCCTTTTACAATGTATAACTCAGTCCTAAATAGTCTTCCAAGATCATGGCTTGACAGTACAGAGCGGTGCCTTTGAGGATGGGGCCTAACAGCAGGGTAAATTTGTAGCAGTAGCACCTTATCTTTAACTTGCAGAGCTTGGGGTCACTTTCACGGTGGTTCTGCCAAGGTGAGATATTCTTTACCTGTTTCAGTAAGCCTTTTTTCTGCTATGACCAAAAGTCCTGGCGAGAAAACTTTAAAGAGGAAAAGTTTATTTGGTGGTTCACAGTTTCAGAGGTCTCAGTCAATAGACAGCCAGTTCTGTCCCATGTGGCTCCTGAGGCTGAACATCAGGGCAGAAGAGTGTGGTATAAGGAAACAGCTGGAGACTGAGCGATCAGGAAGCAGAGAGGGAGCTCTGCTCAAAAGGACACAATGGAAACCCCGAAGTACACACCTACCTTGAGCCGCACCCTACCTGCCTGCAGTTACCACTCAACTAGTCCCTATCAGATGATTAAGTCACTGATTAGGTTGAAACTCATAAGCCACTAATTTCACCTCTAAACCTTGCATAGTGTCACACATAAGCTTTTGGGGGACACTTACTATCTAAACCATAATACCGTACTTTATTTATTTATTATTTTGGTGCCAGGAATTGAACCCAGGGTCACTCAACACTGAGCTACTTCCCCAGCCCTTTATTTATTGAGAGGGTCTCACTAAGTGGCTGAGCCTGTCTTTGAACTTGTGATCCTCCTGCCTCGGGCATATGACACCCTGCCCAATAACACCTTACTTTAATGCAAATATTAATTCTTGTCATTATTTAGTGTCTCCTGAAACTTTGATTAACATGCTGCCTTTTCCATATTAAAAAGTTGAGTGGATCTGGGCTCTGCTGCATAGTTACAGATCAAAACTTCAGGTACATTTGTTGGGCTTGCTGATTTCTCTAACTTGCCGTTTCTCAGCCTGCACTGTGACACATGTGTCTGCTCATAGTAGCTAGGGAAGGACTGTAAATACCTGGGTGACGTAAGGGTGGTTTTATGAAGGCTCTCTAGCTTACTGCTTGATCCTTTGAGGAAAAGAGAAGGGACGTGTTAAGACTTCCAGATTGCTTTTCCTGCATTTCTTTTGGATTCTAGTTTTTACCATAACCCTTTATTTATCAAGTATTTTTTTTCTCATAGATAATTCATTCTATTTCCAGTTTTAATTGCTATCTTTATTTGGGTAGCTTTCAAAAATCTGCTTCCTGTTCTGCCCACTCATGGAAGAAATAGCATTTATGAGCTTATGTTCATTCTCTTGCTGCCTGTCCTCTTCTTTGCTTCCTCCTTTCCCCACCATGTGTCTCTCATTCATTCATTTTGTGTTTCTCTGTGGCAGCATTATTTTCCATAACAAAGACAGAAGATGATAGACAATCCTAGTTTTAAGGCAATCAGCAAATAAATTGGTCTTTCAGCTCCACTGTTCCTAACAGTCCCTTTCTGTCCGTAGTGTATTGTTTTGTAAGACTCGTGGATGGCAGCAGAACTTGCTAAATTTCTTCTGTGACTCTAATTCTACATCAAATCTATCCTGGAAAGCAAGAATTGTCAACTGTGTCTTGCTGAAATAGCACTGCACTATTTCACTTCCTTGTTGAAAGTGGAGCTGGGCTGCTCTCTTGCAGCTGTTGGATCCATTCACAGTGAATGGACTGCCCAGAACCTCCATCCGCAAGTCAGCACATGGCCTGGGCATCTTCCAGATGTCTGTGGTCACCTTGGACTCAAGGATGGACCTCTGAATAAGGGAGGCCCAGCCCCATCCCAGCACATTCAGATCTTAGGTCTTGGGCAGTCCTTCGTTGTTTGAGGCTTGATAACTTTCCTGGACTCCTTTCAGGTGCCTTTGATTTCTCTTCTCTTAATACACTTTTGGTCTCTTCCAGATAAAATGCTTCTGTGCTGTGTAATAGGGCATCTGCTAGCCACATGTGGCTCTTCATAACTACAGTGAAGTGAAATTGAAGATTACTTTTTCCTTTACACTAGCTGTATTACAAGTGCACAGTCTTTGGGCTGGTTTTATTTTCCTTTAGGGCCACAACCATCACTGCAACTTCCACTTACTGTTTGTTGTGCTATACAGAGTACCCTATAATATCCTTGGATGGTGCCAGGAATGTGCTTATGGAGTGAATAGCTGCACAGGCAATGAACACCGTGGGTGTTGTATAACCTTCACCTTCTCTGATCTGAAAACCCAGATAGACCAACACTGTCCAGTGGGATTCTCTGCATTAGTGGGTTGTGAGAGCTGTGCTGTAGTCACAAAGCACGTGTGGCCATTGGCCTTGGCACGTGTCTGCTGCAGCCCAGAGGCTGAGCTTTAAGTTGAGTTTTAATTATGTTAAATTTAAATACCTGCCTGTGGCCAGAATATTAAATAGCACAGAACTAGACTATAGGTTCTCTTTTTTCCCTTTGTCTATTTTTTTGTGCTAGCAATGGAACCCAAGGACTCATGCATGCTAGGAGAGTACTCTAAATTCTTAACTCCACCCTCAACCCTAGAATTTGATCTTAAAAATATTGAACTTCAGTGAGATTCTCACAGTAAAACTTATATATATGTGAATTCTTGTACTATTGTGAACTTCCACTTGGATGTAAATATAAATAGAAACCCTAATACAGTGTGGGGGCTGTGATCTGTCACCATGAAACTCCTTGTGAAATGGCTCAGGACATCCAGTGTTTGCTTCTTTGGATGCTCCTGGAGTGCCCTCCCTGTCTTCCTCTCTCACTGTGACCCTGTCTGTGTGGTATTCTTGAGCATGTTTGTTCTCAGAAGAATGTCCTGTGGTTGTACTGAAATGATGGGCTCCTGTGTTTGCAAATGTCTTTCTTTAGCCACACTTGGTTTTGATAATTTCTCTCAATTAGTATCTTTCTACCCAATATATGCAACTCTCTTTTTAGTATGAGTCATCATACATCTAGTAGAACTAGGGACTTAAATTGATCTGATTTTTTTTTAAAAAGGCCTTCACACAAGCTAGCAGCTAATTTGGTAAGAAATAAAGTTTTCACAAATTTTTGGTTTATCCGTCTAGTTGTACAGCTTGGTCTCTGTTCTGTCTTGGAGATGTAAACACCCATTTCTTATGCTAGGGTTAAGTAGCTGTGTGTGGATTTCTGGGACATGTGCGCTTCAGTGCACACACACTATATCTGGAATAGTGTCCTCAAGATCACTTAGGTGATGGTGCTGGGAATAGTGTTCTTCAGGACATTGTAAATTCATACTATATAGAATTATAATCTGTGCAATGTGTGTGAACTTTGAAAATATCTACACCAGAATTTAAGTAAAGGTAAGTAGTAGCTATTATTACAGGTTTAGGAGAAAGTTAATAGGAGAGACGCTTAAAGTTGAGAACATTGTACCAGTTCTCTGCTTTGACCATAAATTTTGCCCTATTGGCAAAGGGCCACTGTTTTGTTTAATTAGTGAACTCATCTTGAGGTTTGTTTTTTCTAAGGAAAATTAATAATAAAAGGATCAGTATTACCTTTGATAAATATGAAATAGAAGAAAATGTATGCAATTGAATTTCTTTATTTTACTCAATCTATAAAAATTGCTCATTCTTGTAAAATCTGTAGCACATCCACAGTGTTATATGAAAGCTGCTATTGCTCACAGTAGGACTTCCTGGCCCTCATTCAGAGGGTTTGGAGATGTGGGCACAGAGTCAGTGGCATAGTTCAGGTGGTAGGTACGACTTCCCAGCCCTCATTCAGAGGGTTTGGAGATGTAGGCATGGAGTCTTTGGCATAGTTCAGGTGGTAGTTAGGGCTGGATGCAGAGGTGGTACCCATGTGAATCCAGGTATTCTCCATGTTCAACAGTAAAACTTTTTTTATAATTTCAAATGGTTGTTCTTAATGTTTTGAAGTTTTGGCTTATGTCACATCTCTGTTTCTTCTAAGTAGCACAACTTTTTGATGTGTGCATTGGGCTTAGAGTGGATTTTTCATGAGAGCAGGCATTGTGCTCCTGTGCAGAAGAATTTAAAGTATTAATAAACATGAATGGAAGTCTGATGAGGTTGTTGCCTGGAATAATTCCTACTCTATTTATTTTCCACTAGGAAATATCCCTCAACTTGAGGACTACCTTGGACAAGTACCATAAAGGCATTGAGAAGGCAGCGGAGGAGTGCCATGCGAGAATAGAAGAGAGGGCCACGGAGCTGAAGGGGAGAATGTTCCGAATGTCCACCTGACCACGCAGCTGCCTCTTGTAGATGGCTTACCATCTTTTAATTTCTTCAAAGGGTGTAGTTAAGTTGAAACTAGTGGGAATATCAGAAATAACAAATAAAGTTCCTTCAAGCAGCTTTTATATGTTCTCAAAGTGATCATTCTCAAGACATGCATTTAATGTAGGCTTTCATTAACTTTATCATTGAAATAACTTGTGCAGCTACTTGCCTATCTGCCCAGTCCCTTGCTGTGTGCACTGGCTGGAGTTACCTTTGAAGTACGTGTTTTTTCTGTTATTTCCATGGTGGCTGTTAAGTCAAGCCATGCTTGAGCCCTGGCTGTGCCCTGAGCATTGTGGGCAGGCTCTTGCATGGTTCTCCTCAAGCAGGACTAGGAAATATTGTCACTCCCTTATACATCAGTAATGATGAAGGTCCCCAAAGATTCAGTAGCTGAGCCAAGGTTGGAACTGTTGCTCCTTAGGAGACTGAGGTCTGAAGTGTTTCCCTGACCCCACACTTGGAGAGTGGTTAATTGAAGGGGAAGTTGGAGTGTGATCGTCGCTCTTCCTGGATCCATCATGAGGAAATGGGGGCCTGTTATGTGTTAGGCTTAGGTACTTTCTAAGGTTTCAAGTGCTTTGCTCTTTGTTAGAGATGGTGAATGCACCCCGTAGAGACCAGGCCTTCCATGGAGGGAAGCCCTGGAGTGGGAGGAGCAGCAGAGGAGTGAATCCAGGCGGAGGAGCTGGGTGCCGAGCTGAGATCCGCCTGCCTTCTCGTTTATCTTTCAGTAGCCAGGAGTTGGGATCTGTAGGAAGTCTGCCTGTAAGTCCAGGAGACATTGCAGTTGTAGCCACAGGCTTCTCATCTCTTCCTGTCTCTATTATTATTGTCACTTCTTTGTTCACATGAATTTCTGGATCTTTGTGCTGTGCTTGTAAACCCACCTTTCATGGTACTGCAGCTTCTGCCACAAAGCACTCCCTTTCCAGGACTCCAGGATGCTTCTCAGTCTTTGTCCTCCTTACCTCCGCCATGCAGGACCACCCCCATCAGGGAGCTCTTCTCTCAGTTCTTAGTTCTATCTTCCTTTCACTTTCTCCCTGAAATCTCACCCTTGACTCTGTGTTCTAGGCTTCTACCCTTCACTTGTATGGCAACCTCTGCTCCTTGAAACTGTCCATTAGTACCCCTGGCTTCCATTATGCATTACCATTATCCACACACATTTTATTAACATTTATTGTGTTTCTCTTGAATTCCAAACTTGCATATCTGATGACAAATCAGTGTTTGTATCCCTTTGGCATTCTGGTGAAGCCTAAGGGCCTCTTTCAAAAAAGAGTTTTTATGCATGAAATAAAACACCTGGACTACAAGGGAAGCCAGTTAAATGCAGATGTGGTTGTCACATACTGTAATTAGCTTCCCTAACTGCACTTCTGCCCATGAAAGGAGCCCCTGTGTTTACCGTGCTCTGCCCTGGCTGCCTCATGTCTCTCCAGTTAGGACCTCATCTGATGCACCTGGCTCCTTGCCTCCTTCACCCATGTTTCAGTCTGCATCACCCCTTCTTGGCCACCTTTCCACCTCGCTTCTACCTAGGCATTGGGGTGTAGTTGACTAATGTGAAATTAGGTCATTGGGGATCTGTGCAGTCTTGGCTTTTCAGGCTTTGTTTGGGTGTCATGGTGAACTCATAGAAGAACCATGGGATATTTTTAATTTCCAGAGGAAACAGAAATACCTGGTAACTGTCAGATAGCCTTGCAGACCCCAGCTCAAGCAGGCTCAGTCAGTGAGGCCACCTGCTTTCCTGCCTGCACGAAGCTGGGACTTTGGCTGTTGCTGTGATGAAAAGCAAGGATCATCTGAGCATCATGGAACAGAAATGAAGGTGGCGATGCTTAACCTGATGTACAGACTGCAGTTAGCCCTGCTTATTGAAGAGTAAACGTATTTCAACTTGTGTGTTTTTCTTGTGCATCTTCAGGACATAAATGCCTGTTAGGGTTTTTGGCTGATGACTTAATGAACAGAGCTAGTGAAGTGTTTTCTTGGACTCTGTGCATGCAGTCGGGGACCTCAGCCACTCTTTTTCACTCCTGCTTGTGGAGCTATGCCCTCCAGCCATGGGAGGTGGCTCCCTCAGTACTATAGGGCCTCCAGTCTCCTGCTAGGAAGCACTCACCTCTTCCAAGTGCAGACTTAACCTCTTCCCTATCTTCAGTTGTCTTCACTACAGCGTGTCTCATGGTTTTGCTGGGTTATATACCTTCTCCACGTTGTGTGGGAGTGGTGACTCCCTGTCTCCGTCTTCTGGTCTGCATAGAGCCCTGCACCTGATGGTCACGTCAACATCAGCTTGAGGAGTCTGTGTTTTTCCTCAATGCTGGGTGGAGGACTGGGCTCATCTGGGTTCCACACCCACTGCTCCTGCATGCCAGGCAGTGCTCTACCACCCAGCTGAGCCCCACCCGAGAATCCAGAGTTATCTTAGCCCAGCAGGAAAATCCAGCATAATGTTCTGGTAGCTTGATATCTTCACTCATCTATCTCTGCCCCCAAACAGGTAAAATAAAACCTCACTCAAGAGCTCTCAGTATAATCCACCAAAATCCATATTGGGCAGTTTTGACTGAAGAATAAATTATAAAGTTTAGATTTTGAGGGGAATGGTGATTTGGGCCAAGTGACTTTTTGAAGCTTCTGGGTATGGGGCCACAGCTGCTCTGCAGGCTGTGGCATCGTGGATGCTGCACTGACCTGGAGGAGAAGCTGGGAATTCAGACTTGAGATCTTTTGGGTCCAGCCACTTGTAGAACAAATATTTAATTCAAGTGACATTCCAAGAAGCTCATCCAGTTCATGACAAAGCAGGGGAAATTGATATATGCATCTTGCAGACTGAAGTTAATACATCTGGTTTTCATTCAATAGAAGGTTTGCTATTTTTAGTAAGACCAGAAAAGTTTTACATGAAACTCCATTTCAAATTCAGGCCTGCCACCTATTTCAATTAAGTGGGCCCTAATCCTGTGATTGAAACCTGCTCCCCATTCCTACCCAAATTGCCACCAGGGGGCATAACACAACTTGCATAAGCCATGCTGACAGGCCATGATTTTAAGGTCTGAAAATAAAGGCTGCAAATTTTAAAGCAATAGTGGTATTTCAGAGAAGTGTCAGAACTTGGAGCTGAAATCTGTTCCAAATAGTATGAAAATTTGAAGTTCTGCTAAGAGGATGGCCTTTCAAGTTTCCAATCCTGACCCTGTTAGCTTTTGAATTTTATCTGCATTATTCTATTAGTAATTGGTTCAGAATTTTAGCCCAGAATCCATGTAATTCTTAGAATTTAATTTTCCTGAGAGAATTTGAGAAGCCATACAGTGAGCCAGTCACTTAGGTGAATCTGGAGCACCACCTGGCATTGATGGCTTAGAGTGATACTCTGATAAAACTGTAAAAACAAGTCTCTACCCGCAACAGCCTTCTCAAGTCCATTTTTAACTGCCACCACAGAGCTATCTCTAACATGCATACCTGGTCATTTCTATGCAGCTCAACAAGATCCATAATACTTAAGGGCATTATTTAGATGGGGACAATGTAACACGGCACAGTCATCTCCAACTAGTGTGTGTAAACTCCACTTGGGTTTCTCGTTAAGTATGCTGCATCCGTAGAGATTGGCTTGGGCAGCGAGGGGGTTCTCTTGGTTCTGTACTTGAAGCAGGCATACTAAGTGATTTTAGTAACAATCCTTGGGGATTGCATTAAAAAGAGCTGTGTGGCTAAGAGCATAAGCTACTAATTCCTCACATTCCAACAGGAATAATGAATGTTGCACATCAGGATTGAGGGAATTTTGAGCACGGTATCTGCCATGCAGCTAACACTCAAATGGCAGCTGGTTCTGTTGAGGATGAAGCTCATTAGATTGCTCTGGGGGCCAATCTGATATACTTTATATGATACTTCTGTAGCACCTCTGCTACAAGCCTTCCACTGGTGATGGATGGAAGCATGTTTGCTGAACTCCAGAATCTTGTCTGAGTGACCCAGTAGGCACAAGATCTGGAAAAACATTACAGCATTTTCAAAGCAAGGAGCAAAGATGATGGTTTCCCACCCCCAATCCCCGCTGGGGGCGAACACAGGCACACAAAACAGTGCAGGCTCCCTTGGCTCCACAGGTGTGGTGCTGGCTCCTGATCCATCCCTGGGTGAGCACAGGTGTTAAGTGGTGCTTGGCCGTGGAGAACAGAACTTCAGGCCCCAGAGTTTGACTCTGGGTCCTGGGTGTGTTGGTAGGGACCAGGGAAAGTGATGTTGCAGCTCAGGGTCACACTGGAGGAATGCACCCCTGACTAGGGAAGGTGTTTTCACAGATCTTCAACACCTGTGCTTCTCAAACTGGTGTGCTCACAAGTTGCCAGACATCTTGATTAAAAGAACTTTAGTAAGCCTGAGTAGTGCCACAGCACACACTGAGCAGCAAAGGTCAGCAGTCTGCCTGCCCCCTACCTTCTACCTCACGTCACCGAGCACCTTGCTCTTCAGAACTGTTTGACTCGAGAGCAGTGCAAGGAAAAGTGCTTTGTACAGGCTAGAAATTGACTGGGGCTCAACACCTGGATTCAGAATGCATTTTGAGAGACATGCCCTAGAAGTCTACATTTGCAACTCTCCAGCCTTGTGAGCTGGAACATGAAACAGAAAGGCCCTGAGCCTTGGGTGCCTCATTTTCAGATTGGGAAGTCACTGTATGGATTAAGTCAGATAAACCACCTGGCACTCTAAATGGCCATTGTTACTCAAGTGGAGGTTGAATCTGGAGTGTCCCCCAAAGGCTCATGTGTTGATGGCCTCCAGTACCAACATTCAGGGTGGGGCTTTGGGGAAGTGATTAGATCATGAAGTTCTTGACCTCATCAGTGGGTTGGTCCATTGATGGGTTAATTTGATGGCATTATTGGGAGTGGTGGAGATGATTGGAGGTGGGGCCTAGTTAGAGGGATTGTGATGCTGGGGGTATGCCCTGGAAGCGTTTACTTTGTTCCTGGCCCTGTTGCTTTTCTCCATCCCCCTCCCCCTGCTTCCTGGCTGCCGTGAGTGAGCAGCTGTCTCTACC